GCTAATCTTCGCATTTCCCTAACACTAGAACATCGATCATCCATAACTATTTGCGAACAGTAATCTAGGTCTACCCCTACTCCTCTTAACTCCTGTTTCTGCTTCTGATATGTCTCTGACTACACCTTCATGCTTGAGAAGGTCTCCCACCAACCTATCTCGCCTACTTTTTATTGCCTTCCATAAAGTCATCTGTTCTCCTATTCTTTCTAATACCTCCTCATTTCTAACCTTCTCTATCCACTGTATCCCAATCATTCGCCATTTCCAATGATTCTAACCTCTTTTCTTTTTACACCTTTAACAATCTTTTACGAATTTCTGATTTACCTACCTAAAAGAGCATAAAAATTAAATAATAAGAACATAATAAAATAATAAATTAGAATAAGAATTTAGGAATTCTATGACAATAAAGTTGAAATTTAGTAACTAGGTATTACTTAATCTACATTATTAATTATAAAGAATTACTTTAAATTATGGTAGTAGACAAACTCTTCCCAAATGAACGTTAAAAAGTTTCACAGCAGTGAATTTGTTCACATGGGTTAATGTTTTCCTTTGTCTACAAACAGTGACAGATTTAATTACATTAACGCATCTGGATCGTCCCCATTCATTTTAGTTCGTTAGATATTTTTCAAGGTCCGTCCTAAATACGTCTACAAAAGGACAATTTCCAATCAAAACTACAGCGGACCAGTTACAGAATCGATTGTAACAACATCGGGAATCCGTACAATAAACACGGGCACAAGCACAACACGCTACCTTTAAACCCCAAGATTATTCTTTACGAAATTCTAACCATTTAACTACCCCTATTGTGGACGACGTTCGGTATTTGCACCCTTTACCATCCAACCGTGTCAATATTCCGGCAAAACGTTGGTTGGCCTCACCAACAGTCAGCAGCCAGTTCAGCTGTGTTTAATGCGAAGAGGCTAGAGACTGTGCGATCTCATTCAAAAGACAAATTCTTTTACTATACATGTGACTACCTATGTTCACCTATTCATGTACATATGTATATATATACCTTCGACAATCTGTTACCTATATGAAAGGCTGGATGCATAAAAATGTAACGCACCAAAAACAGGAAGTTCCTATCGAATAATAACAATAATATACGGGAATTACGCTTTTAGAAACTTATACATATATGGAGAGGCCAACAAAAGAAAATTTATTTTCTTTTATGCGACACAAAAGTGTACCCCTTGGGGTTAGTATTCAAATTAACGATTTCAAAATGCATATACTCGAAGTGTTCTTAGATGGAAATAATATTTCAAATAAAAATCGGTCAAGCGATGGAAAGATTTAGCCTGTAACAACTTTTTCATACCCATACATACTTATTGTCACCTTTGACTAAAGTATGAATAAGGTCACTAGGGATACGCGCCCACTCTTAAGTTTACCCCTTCCAAATTTTCTTTCGCTTTCTGTTTATCACTAAAGCTTTATGAGGTAATATATTTCAAAAACCCAAAGAGAAAAATTCATGTGCAGTTAACGTTCTGTATGTTTGTGTGGCAACCAATAGGGACGAATATCCTAGGCGGCTGCGATAGCAGTGTTGCTTCCAAATGCAGTTAACTAAACATTCAGCACAAATATATTGCACATCGCATAATAACTTATTAGAAAGCTTGGAAACCAGTAAATTAAACAACAATTTTTTCAAATATTCATTATCCTCACTTCATTAAAAATATTTTTGAAGCACAGCGCAACGCGTAACGGGCAGCGGCAACGGAAGTTACACGCGCAACTGTGGGCGGCAATTATCAATTGTAATCGATAACTTTGTTTAAATACTTGTATGCATTATTACCATTAAGTAAATATATACATTTTGTGAATTACTAAATATCAGTGAATATTTGTAACATAACATGGTTGTTGTGGTAACTATGTAAGTGTGTAATTTATGTTAATTGACTTTAACTGGAACAATAAATCTACTGACTTCCATACTTACCACATGGAAGAGAAAGATACCATTGTCTTTCTCGGCTAGTCGCAGGAAATGAACACTGATGGTACTTTGTACATTTTGTGCATCTTTCTCTCTATTTAAATAGTTTATAGAGTGTCTCTCTCTTTTATTATCTGTCAATGTCACTGTAATTTATTTAAGATTCATAAAACAATCGGTAGTACAGTAATAAAAGAGAGACAAACTCTAGAGACTATTTAAATAGAGAGAAAAATGCACAAAGTTTACCATCAGTGTTCGTTGCCTGCGACTAGCCGAGAAAGATAAGGATATCTTTCTCTTCCTTGTGGTAGGTATACTGGTTAGTAGATTTATTGTTCCAGTAATAAGTAATAAAGTAAAAGGTTTACAATTTCGACTTTTTAATCCAAAACCGGCAAAATTAAATTGAGGCGACCATATATTCTCATAGTAATAAAGAATTACAAGTATTTACATTGAAAATCGCTTGACAATTCATTTAAATTTCCTATAATTTACACGAGAACAAGAATAAAAGACAAATAGTTTTCGGTCAAACAAACCGAGAAATTTAGCAAATTTCATTTGCGACTTAGGACGTAGAGTTTAGATAGATTTTCGCTTGTTTTTAATATTCGTGTTGAGGGTCGCTTTCGGCTCTTGTGTGCTTCCTGCTAAACGTACCGCCCGTCTCATAAAGTTTAGGTACTTAATGTACAACATACCATTAATGTTAATAAAATTAAAATTTCAAAAGTACAAGAACACATCTAGGCAGGTATAATAATAAATGGCAATTCAGCCTTCACCATGAACACGAAACAATGACATCAACTTATGAATAATATGTCACGAACTCAAGTTAAGTGTGGTACAGGTATTTACAAAAGTCGTGTGTCGCTATAATAGTAGGTACCTATACTTAGGTACATACGTATAAAAAGAAGAATAACCGAGTCATTGTGCTCAGTCTTTACTCGAATCTTTTCACATTTTTTTTGTCTTTAACTAATCGCAAGTACATTGATGGTACTTCATCAATGAATCTTTGTTCGTTTGTTTTTTTTTTCTATAGTTCTTATAAGTGAAATTGCTTTTTATTGCTTGTTACGTTCAAATAATACTTAATTTATTAATTAATATAGGCGGAAAAAAAAATATAAGATACTGGATTTCTTTTTATAACCAGGAGGAAAATATAACCTCTAACTAAAAACGAATGCATATCACAGATTAGGAACTGAAGTAGGGGAGACCGGGGATGGTTGACTATAGGGGTAGGTAGACTAACTACCGAAAACTCGTCGATAGTGTATGAACTATGTCATCTGATCATAACCAAGCATTACATTTCGCGTCCCGCTCAGTTGTCTGAAGCGTCACATCGCGGTCGTGCTTTGTTTTCGAACAGTGACATGTTTTTCATATTTCAATCACATAAGTAATATTTTGATATATTGTATTTTTTGATCTGATGCCTATTCGTTTTATGTAAATCATTTTTCTATTAGTCCTAGCGTTTAATGAGGGCACATTTATCATATTTCATATCTTATTTTTCAAGTCAACGGCAGTGTTTAGGCTAGCCATGCGATCAAAATTAAAAATGGCGTCTGGGGTTGGTAGACCAATTTTTTTCGGGGCTGGTTGAATAATTATTCAACCAACCCCAATGAAATATGTAGTTGAAAACAACACGTAAATTAACTTTTTATTGGACTTTTAAATCGTTACGTGGCCAAATTAAAAGAAAAATTAGAACAGAATCCGAAATTGACGAGGGCAGAATTAACCCTGGACACAGTGGAATATATAAAAAATAGACAAATTTTTACTAATCTAGAAGAGGAAACTTTAGCCAGTTTATTTTTTAATAAAAGGTTCAATTATATTAAAAAAATGTTTAATTATTTGCTCCTTCTCATGATTTGACTCTTATTGGTACATGAGTCAACTTACTCCGGGCATATGGTCTACCTACCCCGGCCCAGGGGTAGATTGACTAAGATTTAATATTTTGTAAAATGCATTAAATCATCAGTATTATACTAAACTAAGAACTAAATATTACATATTTTTATTAGGTTAATAGATTTTCTATCAATTAACATGCTTTTCTTGTCTATATACATTAAGACACAAAAAATATGAACTATTCAGTAAAAAACTAGTCAACCATCCCCGGTCTCACGAAACGAACCGGGGGATATTCTCTATTACATTAAAGAATCAAAGGGCAGCACCATTTTTTCAAAATTCGTACAAACAGCAACAGCCATCTTTTCATACGTTATAAATGATAAAGTAATTTAAGTTCAGTAAATATAATTTGAACCCGTTAGGAGGTGTTACGCCTTGCTCAAAACATTTTAAGACTTCGGTTAGTTTAGAACATTTTTTTTCTAGAGAAACTGGTGATATTTTCAGTTCGATGGGATTGACAAAACATATTCAACAAATTATGCATTTTCACTCCTTCAACGCCTACAAAGAAATGTGTAATTTCTATGTTCGGTTAACGTTTTACATTATTTTGATAGTTAATTTTTTTTAATTCAAAAATGTGTATTCTTGAAGCATTATACGTGTGCAGAAACTATATTTGTATGAGCCGATACACTTAGATACAGTTTTTAACATATAACATAAGTATAAGTTCTGAAATGCATGTAGATACCTTATAAAGGAGTTTATCTCTAATTAAAACAATACTTTCAGGTAGGTAAACCAATTGCGAAAGACAATTGTATAGTTAATTAATTTAAAGACAATTGAGTGTTAAAATGTTGTAGGCTCAAGTTACAGCTTCAATATTTTAAATTTAAGACAAGATCCTTAATTATCGACAACATTCAAAAGTGAATTCGATTTAGGATATCCCCCATTATTGAGGTGATGAACTATAGTACTAATAAAAACAAAAGTAAATAAACAACACAGATGTAAAAATGCAATCCACATCCACAACAACATACCTGTAAAATGCGACGTAAGCATCTTATGGATTCCATTAAAATCTGAATGCAACCTTCTTCAAGTTTACTCCGGAAAACAAATGTAACAGTATTTTTCACCTTCAGTACAAACTAATCTGTAGAAACAGAAATTATATGGCGTAATTCGCGATTTACTATTATGGATTGGTACGATGGGACATTATTCCTGTGTGTTCTGTTTTAAAGTGTTCCGAAATGCAGAATTCTTCGCGAGTCTTACAATTAACGACAAAGAACAGAGTAGTGTTTGACGAAATTTAAAATTTTGATTATAAAAAATTGCATTATTAGAAAAATATAAAGAATCAGATATTTATTTTAAATAATTCCATTTTCTATAATTCGAATCCTTTCTAACTGGAATATTTTTTTGTTCCCTTGACATAAATAGGTAGGTACATATTTTGCTTTATATTTAATCAATGGTTTCAGTTTTTAAGCAAAACAATTATACCACAAATTTTCAGTTTTAATTTTAGGCAGCAGAAAAAGCAGCTAGGTCGGGATTACAACGTTACGATAGGAACAGACAACACGAACGAAGTAGGTACTTATATTGTCTTAAAATTTCAGGCTGAAATCTTGTAAGTTTAACAGCATTAACAGGAATAAACAAAAGTTAAAAACTAACTGGAATACGTAACAGTAACATCTAAGAGATTTGAGTTAAAAAAAAATTGAATTATAATTTGTATCTAGTAAAGTGCTAAACAACGATTTTTGCTGACGAATATCGATAAAATTACATTTTTCATCTAAGGGGTTTGTATAAGTAATAAATATGTTTGTCACCTCAGCCGTTCTAACAAGCGTGGAAAAATACGAAAGTTGAAACAAAAAAATTGATATCTTAAAATACGGCACGTAGACATTAACTACATAGTTCAGACGAATGAACAGGATCATGCGGAGAAGTTGCAGCGGTTCAATTCAATAGTCGTCATCCTTACCAGGACACTACCGACTAACAGGACGATAAGTTTCTTGGGCCCTGGTCGACACCTACCGGCAAAGCGTGTAGTGACAAGCCGTGAAATAGTTTTTATGGCTTTTAGCGTCGAATCGCTATGAGCAATTTAAACGATTGCTTTGTCCCTGTATTCGGACATATACGCAACTTATAAATAAATACCGATATTACATCAAAGGTAAAAGTTAAAAATTTTAACTCAAAAAAGCTAGTTAATACTTTAATCATTTACTTCACAATTCACGAACTAATTGAAGTACTTTAAGTTCTGATAGTTCGAAAAAATTCTCATTCGTTAGGTAGGTATCATACCCAGAATTTTAAAAATCAAAATTTTATTGCTTGACTTTGAAACAAAATTCTGATGACGGACTGCGTCCGAAACGTCTCCAGTATCACTTTCTCTTTTTCTTAACGTCTACGTTATAGGGAAGCTTTCGTTATAAGAAATTTCGTTATAAAGTTTACGCTGTGTTTTAATTTTAATGTATTAGATTTAGGGAAGAACATACAACTTACACTCATTATACAGAAAGTTTTGTTACAAAAGATTCTCTCTCTTTTTAAATAAAGTAAATATTAAATGAATATCATCATCATCAAAATTATAATAATTCAACAATCAACAGATGCTTGTATATCGCTCGTTAAACCAAACGTAATCTACGATTAGAAATAGAACTAGGCATGGAAATCAAAATGAAGAAGCAAAGAACCAGGGTAAAAGAAAAACAATATGTTTTCATAATAATCACTAATAATATTCAAATTTGGAAATTTCAGATTTCAAGATTCTTTGATACAATAGCACCAGACAAATTTTAGAATAGACTAAAATTGATTAAACATTTGACAGATGCAACTAATCAAAAGTAGGTATAAATAATTCAGATGTCGTGCATGTAATACAGTAATTCTTGCTAATTATCTTTAGTTTTGAAAAGTATATTGGGTAATAAGAACTTGCGAACGAACAATAATTACCCTACCTGCTCATATTAAAATTAGTCTACTGACATTCTGAGGAAGGGAACTACATACTACTAACTTTTTGGCATTGATACCATATAGGTTAATGGACAAGGAAACTAAAGGATTTGTTGCCAAACAAAACTTCAGCCTGTTTTCCTATCAACTTTTGTTCCTGCCGCTGCGCTGTTACAAAAAAAGGCAAAGGTGCACTCCTTGAAGTTTAGACCTCGAAAAAAACTACGTTATCGAAACATGCAACTAAAGAGGAAACCACCAACATAGTAATAGCAGCAAAAAACGTACGCCAGTTTCACTAGCCGCCCGTTCGTCTAAGAAACACGTGTCCGAAAGGAGAGGAGAAGGAGGAACGATTAGCGACCAGACGAGAGCTTTCGCGGCCGCAACTAAAAACAATCACCGATACCGACGGACACACAGGAATAATGCCGAACACCGTGACACGACGCTTTAATTAGCAACATCAAGGCGATAATTACAAAAAGTGTATTGCGACGCTGGCTTCCCCCCGGACGGACGGACGCCGACGCTATTCTGACGGCGCCGCTTTCGAAGCGCCGGTCTAGTAGTTAGCACATCTCCCACATTTGCATGGCGCGCTATCGTCCGCCCCACCCCCGCCCTCCACTTCGACGTCGAAGAAGGCGACGTCGCTATCAACGTCCCCACGCTCGCGACAAAGACGCAGCCAGCTCTTTTACATTATAAATTTTTAGGGGAAGAGATATTAGGAAGAGAGAAAAAAGCGTCGAATTTTCTCCATTAAAGTGGGGGGTGGCAGCGAGTGACGCCGCCACGACGACTACGACGGCGACGACAACGACAACGTCAATGAAGGAGGAAGAATAAGAAGAAGTAGAAGAAGAAGAAGGGGGAGAATAGAAAAATAAGCAGGTTCGAACGAGGGTGATGGAAGTTGACGACGGTGGAGCGGCGAGAGAAGAGAATATCAAAAGGAAATCTGCGTTAAAAATTTATGCATGAGATATTTTTTCCGTTCACGAATAACGAGCCGATTGATGAAGCGCCACACGCGTCCCAGACCGAAAAGCGAAAACGAAAAGCAATCCCTTATCGAAGAAAACAATTGAAATTGAAAACTCAAATAATTATTTACGGATTTAATGAACAGCAGGGGCGCGCGCGTGAGTATCTATTGATCATATGTGTCTTTTGCAATTGTGAGGAAATAAAATAATAATAAATTATTATAGGCAGTAGAACAATTATCTATTAGGTTGGTAGGGCAACTTTTCTGACTGCGGTCGTGCTTATAAAAAGATCCATCACGAGGCAACATTTTTAGAAGCAGCGGCTGTTAAAACAAGAAAAATTCACTTTGCTTTAAAGTAATCCGCAGAGAGGAAACAATTGCCTATTTCGCAAATTGGAAAAAACTTTCGCGGCCCGTAGGTGAACTGCATCCAGCTTTGGAGTTGGAAGGACTTCCGAAAAACTTCGTCAGTCGCCACTTAGACCAAAATCAGAACGGAAGCTATTGCACTAATATTTACCACAACATTTTCCCGAAAGGCAAGACATGGGATTTTTTTCCTAACTCTTAAGTACCTGCATGTATACTATAAGTAGGTCAATTAGCAATTATATAACAAGATTCAGGCTGATAAAAAAAGATGGAACAATAACCACGAGAAGAGGCTGGTCGTCTTCATTCATCCTAATGGTTTTCCTGCCATGTTCTTCGCATTATAATTATACTTTTATTACATTATTTAAGTATTTCGTAACTGTATTAAGTTCTTGATTAAATTGTTTTAAAGTAATCATTTTTCAGAATAAATATAGAAACGCTTTTTGCAAGACAGTTGGAAACCTGTGAGGGGTCCTACTATAATATGGGGTACATTGCACTAAAATATTTCAAGGTTATACTATCTCCTTGATAACCCTAATGTATTTAAATTAGAAATAAAATAAATGTGCCTACCGTTCCTCTCAAATTGTCATGATACTCCAAACGATTCTGAAAAAGAAGAAAGACTCCAGTAATTATTATTATTTAAACAATAAATATGAATTTGTGAAATGTAAAACAGTTAAATAGTAAATAAAACTTAATAATTATTGCAAAAAAAAGACGTTTTCATCAACATTTCATAATATTTAATTGATTCGTTATACTGTCGTATGTTTTTGTGACAATTAACAAATTTTACGGGGCGCCTACTGATGCATCATCAGTTACCACAAAAGTTTGCGTAACATGAAGAACTATAAAATTGGAAGAGAATTTATGCGTAACGTAAGTCTTGTGGAAATAATCACGTAACTTTGAAGATATTGTGCTTGAGACGTAATAGACGTAAAAACTATGCCAAGCTGATTAAAAGTGTACAGAAAACGAATCACAGCAGGCATCTAATAATTGCATCCACTAATGTATAAAAAGGAAGACATCGCAATGCGTATTTATCGAGCTGGTTTTTGAGAGAAAAAGGTCCTTTTTGGACAAAAAATTAAATTTCACACCTGTTACAAATTTAGTTGGAATTGAAGCTGACCAATTAGGTATGCCACTTACCAATTTAACCAGCAGACACATACAGAAATTCTCGAGCAGTTTTTGAAAAAAGAAAATTGAAAAATAATCGAAGAACGGTAACTATAGTTGCTGTAGATGCGATAACGGACATATACCTACATTATAAAGCTAATCAAGTATAGTTGCAGCTTTATATGCATCTTTTTCTAAGTCCTTTAATACTACAAATAAAAGGGAATTATGATTTGAATGCTACCTACAATTGAATGCATAGATACTACAGATACTCTTTACATCCAATTAGGTAAACTAGTCTTAAGTGATTACAACAGAACGAACAGCATAACAATTTATTAGATTTGACTTTGAAACCTCGGATTTTTTCCGACTGCTTCAAGCTTTCCCGACTTTTCCTTGACTTTCCAGAAAATTGACACTACTACCTAAATATTTAACAATTTTTCCATTATTTTCTTACACAGCAATACGTTGAACGTTGAATAAACTATTGTAACAAACTGGCAATTGTAGTAAGCAAGTATCATTTACACAGGTCCTAAATTAAATAAACAAGCAATAGTTTTACATTGTTTTTACATACATTTTAATTAATAATAATTGTTATTATTTCGATCACTTAATTAGCTGTTACATAAAGTACCTACATCTTTTCATGTAATATTGTGTGTTCATATTTAAATTAATAAGTGAATTAAGTTGTCTAACAGAATTTTAGTTGTTAGCTCTTGATATTCGAGAGTGTTACAAGCACAAACATCCATAAGTTCTTATCGAATTTGTTCACACGTCTGCGATAACGCTAACTCTACAGGCGCTATCTAGTAATATTGGTTTATGGGTATACCTTCTCTCTACAGAATTACAACTTTGAATTGCTATAAAAAATAACATAGAACAGATAATGAAAAAGAACAGAAAATGTTATAGGAATCGCCGATAGAATGTCAACACAGTAATGATTGATAATATTTTTTTAATGATACAACTTTTTGTAATAAACAATTATAGGTTACAGGTTAGCTTCTGAAGCATATTAAAATGACTCCTTTTGGACATATCCACCAGGTGTCACACGTGGCGCGTGACGTGACTCGTGACGTTAGAATTTTCTGTTTTGTAGCCTTGTAGATGTCCTTCCTACCGTCGATAAGTTCGAAATGAATAGAATTTTACGAATCTTCGTTGAGATTCTACAAGTATGGTATCTATATTGTACAATAAATTTTATAAAATTTCAAGAAAATATCTAACGATACATTCATTGAACATATACTCTGATCATTTACCGTTCTTAATACATAAAGAGAGTTATAAATATTGTGCAACTGAAACAAAAATGACTAGTCAAAAAATGATCCGCATCATTGCATGATGAAAAGGACACATTTTATATTGCAAATTACAAAAACGAAATCCTTCTAAAATTGTGATTCGAGTTGAAGGTCGTGATCTAAATAAATTGTTAGCGAAGTCGTTTCGTCGGCAACTGCAGGTAACATCTTCAGTGGTACTCCGTTGACAACGTGGCGAAATGATAAGTGACTCAGTCAGTGTTGAAGATTCGAGGTTTAATCTTTGCCCATGGGGTTATCAATGCAATACCACTAAAGATGTCGTCGCAGATGAAACGTCTGGACCTAACGGTTCATTTAGATTACGTTCAGCCCTAATCCTAAATCTACTAACAACTGTTTTGTAGTTATTGTAAGCACTTTTACCTACATTATAAAAAGTGATAGAACAACAGAAATCTATAGGCCTGCAGGTATTACCATTCAATGTAAAAAGTGTCAAGGTGTCATTTAAAGGTTTAAAAATCTTCAATAACTTCTCGTTTCTACTCCTCCAAACACTACTTATTTAAGTCGCTCCTTCAGTGTTCAGTTTCCTATTAAAATCCTCCTGCTAGTAATCACGACATCGAAGAAATTATCACGACTTTTCTAGAGCCTCTTTCAGCGGTTTCCTGAACAAAGAGCATTTCCATTCAACTGAAGCAATTCGCAACTTTAATATCCATTGCAGACTCGTCTCCCTTAAAATTTTCCGATTTTAATTTAACAGGAAAACCACCACCACCACCGCCACTATAAGGTGATGCATGCGCACGATGCTTAATTAGTTCCGCGATCCCGTTTTCTGTTCTTTCTTAGTGCAACTTCCGTGTATATGAGGGTGTACATACATTCATATATATAATACGTGTGTGTGTGTGTGCGCGCACACGTGTGTCTCTCCCGAGCTCGGCGGCCAGATATTAAACGTTCCTGTGGGGTGGTAAAACAGACATACATTTCATTAAGAGTTGAGACGGACGGAGTGAAATTACAGAGGCTGCAAGAGTGTGGAACCAGGATGTGTAATATACCCCGCAGTGGCCCCCACAGTACGGGGAGAGGGCGACGACCAAGAGCGCGATCGGTAGCTTATATGCAGCGCGCTGAACAAGGACGAGGGTCCTTCGTGCGGACGCTAGAACGGGCGCGATATATGCAAGTTAATTAATCGGTAAAGTAATGAGAAAAAGGCGCATGCGTTCTTCGAGTGGTCCGAGGTCAACATTCAGGGGGGTAGTCATCAACGCCAGCGCAGATTACAAGTACAGTCTCGGAAAAAAGCACGGACCAAGAAAGCAGCATTTAATATAATCTTTGCGAGTGTCAGTCTAGAGGACGTGGTACGGGCGTTAAGGGTAGCGAGTGTATTCACTCGTCTGCATCGGTACAAGGGGTAGTTCACCCTCCTGGAAACACTGACTAGTCTACCCATCGTACGCACAGGTTACCCTGATTGAGGCATTTTAGGAACTTAAATGCCTTTCTAAATATGTATAAATATAAGTACGAATTTCCTTCGACATTTACATGAATGAAAACATGATTAATCTTGCTACGTTTCTTGTAGCTTTTCTAGAATGCAATTGATATTTATGTGCAAATAAAACGGCCCCTTCTTACCTACAGGAAACTTCAGTTAATAGATGCGTAGATAATATTTAAAACAATAAGTATTATTTGTATTAGGTAAATTATATATTCCCTTCTGTATCATACCATCAAATGAGATTAAGTACGCCAAAATTTTAAAATGATGCAAAATAGGCAAAAATGAACACTTTTTACTACCCAACGAGAAAACCTAAAAGAACATGCATATAATAGCACTCATGTTCTTTTCCTACCCTAGCTTTCTGTTACGTTCGGTAAAGGTAGGATCATAATGTTATCGTAGGGTCACATTTGAGGATAGTCCAGGTTACTCGGAGACACTTTTTCATTATTTCCATTATTGGTTTCGTGCTTAGCGCAGAAAGAAATCCGTATTCACACAATAATCCTTGCAATCCGAGGAATGCGATTTTTGGAACTAACTCTCGGATTTCAAAATACATAAATTAGGAAAAGGATAAGGCAAATGATCAAGTTTAAGAAATGTTTCAAATCACAAAATGATTAATGAATGTCGTCATTAATAAAATGATGAAATTTAAGCATTCATGAATTTTTTCCCAAAAGCTCTTTGTAATTCTCCAGAGAACTTCAAGGATATTATTCTTTAGAAATTGAAATCGCCCAGTGAGAAAACATTTACAAGAAATTATTATTTCAACTTTACATTTGATCTACTGATACATGCAATAGGTATATGTCGACTAAAACAGCCTCATTAGAATTATTCAAGACAAAACCATGTGTGGACATGCTTGAACATTCTATAAAGAATGACTATGCCAGAGTTCCTCCGAATATGCATATAGCAAGAGCGTGCAGTTTTCCCATAATACTCAGTTCTTGATACAGATACGAGAACTCGTCTGTAAACGTATATACATGTCCATGTTTTGCAACAGAAACCCGAGAAAAGAAAAGTCGATAATCATGACCTAGGCCAAATTTTCTTTCGACGACGTCCGAAAACTTTTGCGTCAGTGCGACTGACCGCGAGGACACACGAAACAAACGAAAAAATAGCCACTAGCCGCCTACTAGTCACAACCAACACGTGACTGGAGGAAAACAAGAAAAACCAACAATGCGGAAACAAGTGAAGTTCCAGTAGAGAAATAAAAAAGAGCTGGCGAAAGCAGGTGATCGCCGTAAATGAATATTAGGCGTACGACTTACATTATGACATGGATCTTCAGTTTTTTGGATTAGAAAAACTAGACTGGTCTTTATTCACCCACTGTCTTACAAAATCACAATACTCGACACTTAAAAATTAATAGTTGGGCCTGAAGAAGTGCACTGTCGTTTTTTTAGGATACACCACAAAACAGAAACATATGATACTCGTGAAAATGTAGTACCTGTAAACACGCACTCAATAATTTGTCAGTGGAACCAAAACTTAACTAACCATTTACATACTTATAGATAATAATAGAATGACGAACCAAAACTGAGAATAGTTCAGTCAAGAGGTCCGTTCTTTTTATCGCCACGGCTCACTCACGAAAACGAAACAGTAAAACAATAATACTTATCAATAAAAAGGAAGAAACGTCGCGTAAGACAACACGTGGTTCGTACGAACCCCTTTTGCTGTTACGTTCGCGATTCGCATTCGCTCATCACAAGCAACATCAAACAGAGACCGGTCCGTTGTAGCCACCGTGTGCTGTTTCCATGGCTAGCCGTGATGCTCTGGCCAGCTGAGGACGCCTGACCAGCGGAGGGGTGGTGGCGTAATTACCGAGAGAGGGGACGTGGACTGCGACGCTAACAATGTAGTTAACATATCGCTTAATGAGCACCTCTCGCTCAAACTCTTCGATCTAGATGGAAAAGGGGGAACAACAGCAACAACAACACAACATACTCGCGTTGTACGCGCTGGACTCTACGTACACCGTGCTTGACCTGACCGTACCGGAACGTGATTTATGGTATTCTCTCAGTTAATGCCCTCTTCACTTCTCTTTCACCGAACGCAATTTTTTTATTAGACGTATTGTGAACCGTACCGGTGTTGATACTTATCCGAAAGGATCCTAACAAGTGCCACAGAAAAGGTGGCAAGTATTGATGACACAAATGCATCCCTCTCTTTCATCAGGATTTCCGTGTTTCACTTCCATTTTTAATGTTCCATATTCAAAATCCTCCAATGTCTGCAACATTCATTATAATGGACTCTAAAATTAAGGAAACCGATAAAAAAAACAAAAATACGTTTTTGTTTGTCATTGAATATTCCCATTCTTAAATCCTGCTTGATACCTGACTGAAATACCTACCTAACAAAGTCCTAAATATACCTACTACCTAAATCTTATTTGAAGAACAAGCAATTACAAAAAACTTTACTCAAAAATATCACTTGAACACTTGAAGCAGAACTTCCATATCAACAAATATGTAAAAATCGTGATGAATTCCACAAAAAATTTCAATCGAAATTTTGATTCAAGGAAAATATCTGAATAGGTCGACATCAATTTGGCTAAGAATCTTCTTGTAAATAGTGACAAAAACTTCTTTGGCAATTTTTGTTTTACAGTGGGCGCGGCGGAAAAGAAAAGGTTAGAAGCTTTCGAAATGTGGTGTTATAGGCGAATGATGAGGATACCATGAATAAAGAAGGTTGGAAATGAAGAGGTATTAGAAAGAATAGGAGAACAGAGGACTGTATGGAAGTCAATGAGCAATAGGCGAGATAGGTTAGTAGGACACCTCAGGCATGAAGGTCTAGTTAGAGACATATTAGTGGCAGAACTGGGAGTTAGGAGGGGTGGAGGTAGACCTAGATTAGATTATTGTTCGCAAAGATGTGGGTTGTTCTAGTTTTAGGGAAATGCGAAGATTAGCTCAGGATAGGAAGGAATGGAGGTGCGTGTCCAAGGACTGACGACCTTATGATGATGATGATGATGGAGAAACTCAGAAACTACACCCAATTTTAAGCATCAAAAGATATGATATTTAATATTTAAAAATGTTCTTCGTACTTTTCACTTAGTTTTTGCATAAGTAATGCAAATTTGTGTAAACTGTAAAGTGGAATAATAACAGAGAAGTTTTTATAATTCCAACGGAATTTCAAAGTAGTTGACACATGAAGAGTAAATTTATGCTGTAAATTTTTCACAAATTCCAAAGTAGTTAGATCATAAATATGTATGTTACCAATCCGAAGCAAAATGAACGAACAGTTGAATGACCAAAGTACGCCAAGGAACGTCTTTAATAAGAGATGTCTGATTTTTAAAATATTTATCATCTGATAGCAAAAAAAGGAGTTATATACATAGTTAGCTGGCTTCCACCTTTAGATCAGGCACTGCCTCCTCTGGGCTCTTTCCACTCTCCATTTATTCAGTTGGTGAATTATGTGTTTATTATGCCTAAATGCCTAGATTTTCAGTTATATTAATTGCAACTGAAGGATCAAATAAAATTGCTCTCTCTTTAATTCGAACCACAGCCATTCTAATCAATCAATGCACCAATTGGATTGTTATTACTCATATATTAGATATCCATGCATAACAAATATTACCTACAATAGAAGAAACTGAAATGGAGATATGAGGAACTCAACTAAATAAAACACTAAAGCCAAATGTCACATACAAACTTTAAAAAAGGAAAACTGAGTACAACACCTTGGATGACGAAAAGAGTTTTAAATATTTCTTATGTGTAACTTGGGGTTTTATTAATTAACTCTCGCAAATTGGTAAAACAACTTTAAGGAAAAATTAAGTTTTCCTCATTTAGTGTCAGTGCTTTTAAAAATATAATCAGTTAATGAAAATGGTAGGCACCACCAAAACATAATCAAATTATGCGGATTTCCCCATTTGTTTTAAAGAATTATATTTTTTTTTACTCGGCGTTTCGAAAACGAAATTTCTTGGAATATTCAGGGGTTTCTCTTGCGGATGATCAATCGATGAATGAACGAGAAGAATTCTTGAAGATTTCTGATCATTGGCAAAACATCAAGAAGAATAAATATCCAATTCTTGAGAATATCAATCGACGAATGAACCGTCAGAAGAATTTCTGAAGATTACTAACCTCGAGCGTTGGCAACTTAAAAGGGAAGAATAAATAATTCTTTGAAAGGTTCCAAATAAAAGTATTGCGCACTGTCAAACAATGAGTGATGCGAAATCAAGAACTTTGGTAATATTATTTTATAAACGTTACGTACAATAATCAAAACGCAATCCTTCATTTTTATAAACACTAATCATCTTTATTATTAACTTAATCCACTCACTTATCTAAAATTAAAATAACATAATGAACCAGGGTAATGTACATTTAAGACTACCAATCGACGTGTTTTATGAGATTATATTAGTAACTACCGATAAATGCTCAAAAAGTTAAATAAGGTTAACAATTTAAGTAATTGTTAAGCTGGAAAATTAACACCTCATTCGAAGATAAAGATACATAATACATGCTATAAAGTTCTTATTAATTTAAATTAACAATGGATGACAAGCAGAAGAAAACGACCATTTATTATTTGAACTTTATTTTGGTGGTAGTTGATTTCAAGTATGTACTTACTATTGAAAACGAAAGACAATTACAAAATAATTGCGAGGATGCTATAGATTAAACCAAATTTATAACGTTTAACAAAATAATTTTATTTATGTGACGACGATAATTTAAACAGCAAAGTTTATTATTTTAGAAAAAGGCAGTATTAACAGTTGTTATTATTATTCCCGGTACGTATTTTCGTTTGGTAGGCATCATATTAGACACCTGCACTGCAGATAGGTAGGTACCTTTAAGTATGGACCGTAAATTGCAACTGTTAAAAGACAGGTAACCAGCGTGTTCGCAGTGATTCATAAACATAAGTGAGGAGAAACTACCCCACCTAATTATTCCGAGCGAATCACACGCTACGGCTGCCCCCACTCTATAATTCCTGCATTTAAAAGAGCGAACATTCTTGGATCAGTTTCACTTTTATTTCGTATTAGGTAGGCACCCACAAGATCATTTTATTATTAGTTATTATAATAATCATTTACACATTCAATAAGAATAAAAATGAAACGATTTCCGCTAAGATGCATATGTTAATTAATGGGAAACAGCACTTAAATCCATGTGTGTTTTTGCTGAGAGCTCCGATAAATTCGGGGTTTGTGGATAAAACGTTGAACTATGATAGAAATAATAATTTATAAGAACAAATTAAGAAAGTAGATACCTATAGATTATGTAAAAATATCAAATGGTATATATATATACCACCTAGTGATCATTCAAATAGATAGAAATTGCTTAGGAAAGCGAGTTTCCCGTGTGTACCACCTCCGATACGACGACGTCCTCTTCGGCGGTGGGTGTTTATTAAATACAGCCTCGCTCACGTAGACGACGGCGTATCCGTGTGCAAGTTCCACTGCCACCAGGACCGCCGTCTCAGTCGGCCCAGCAATTACATACATTCAAATACGTTCTGGGGAAAGAGATGTCGGATGTGAAAGCTGCTTGTACGTATGCGTGTGCGAATGTGAATGTGTGTGTGAATGTGGATAATAAGAGCTCGCGAGATCTAGCAGGCTGCTGCTGTGCCGTGTTGCGGGTTGCCGGTCCGGAGAGGGGGCCATTTGCATACCGGTAGGTGACAACTCGCGGGGGGCGTGGCCGCCTCCTCGGCCAATAGCTGCGCCGACTGGTGGTCATTGTTAATGTAGGAGAATGAACCTGCATGGTTCCGAAATGGGTAACAGGTCGACCTCGTGCACACACCTACATACGTTCTCTCAGAAGATAAACAGAAGAACAACACACATGGGTTTATTTATATATATTTGTCTATCTGGTGGCCACGTGCATATGGTCAGTAATAACCACAGACTTGGTATTATCAGTCTGTGTCTCAAACTCAAAGGCAATTCTTCCTGTTCATGACAGGGGCCAAATGGTATCACCTTAACTGTTCTTTTCAGTATCGACGTAGGTTTATAATAAAATAATGTTTCAATCTTTTGTTGAAAACCATCTATATTCGCTCCACAACAATGAGGTCTATCCATTCAAAATGTTCTGACGTAAAACTAAACCTTTTCCGGCGGTTAGGATCAGGAAGCTCCAAATTATGTAATTGATAAATCAAACGCCTATAAATAAACCTCTGTAATATAAAAATAGGAATTAGAACGGTTACTCATCCTAAGATAACAGACTAGAGAGAAGGCGCTAAGGAAATCAATAAGAAATAGGTGAGATAGGACACTTTCTCAGGCATGAAGGGCCTAGTTAGAGACATATCAGATGCAGAAACAGTAGTTAAGAGGAGCAGTGGTGGACTTAGATAACAAATAGTTAAGGATGTGGCATGCTGCTCAGATTTGTTGTTTGCTTTCACAGAATATATTTATATAACTACCTACATGAAGTACTTATAAATTACATACAACTAAATTTACCAATGGGTTATTTCAATCATACTTTTCTATTTGTATTTCTATTGGCATCATTATCATAAGGTCGTCAGTTTTAAGACTGGTTGGACACGCACATCCACTCTTTCCGATCCTGAGCTTATCTTCCCTAAAACTAGAGCAACCCACATCCTTAACTATTTGCGAACAGTAATTTAATCTAGGTCTACCTTTATTCCTCCTAACTCCTA